CTCTTTCGTTTTTATGTTTATTGGACTGATTGTTTGGAATGACTATCTATTACAGAGGATCAAGACCGCATTGGAATGAAGGGAGCGGCCAGCAAATTCAAATAATCAACGGACTACCCAGCTCACAAATTGTGCACTCCAATCTCCATCGCAATTCTGCGATAAGCGGCGAGCGCGACCGTGTTCGGGGAAAAGATACCGGACCCGATAAAACAGATAGAGAGCCCACCAGTAACATTTGAAGAGCAACAAAAACCCCATGGAGCGTGATAAGGAGAGATGCATTCAAATCGTTCGCTGCAGTCGTTATTCACTTCTTGTAAATTACATTTCACTGAATGTGCTGATGGTAGACGTTCTTCCGCGATTTGTCCAAGAGGGCAGATATCTGAAAAATTGCTGCCATGATTGATTTCTTTATTCGCTACTTCGTAAGGATAACTGGAAGATTTTTATCGACTGCTCGTAATTCTAGATGTTTTTCCTCTCAAAACCTGCTTTAATATTTAGAAGAATCTCTGGGAACACTCAAGAATAGGTGAAGGTCAGTCATGAAAATTCATTCCTTCATCAATGAACCAAAAGCGAATCCAATAGAAGGTACAGTGAGCTGATCAAGGACAAAGTAAGTTGTTGTGCAGTTCAAACAGAACTTATGAACCCCATTCAATGACCGTACTGTATTGGTAAATTCGCAGAAGAAAAAAGTACAATTCGAAAGTAATCTACCATTCGGTCTGCAACAATAACCACTCTGTCCTTTTCCCACACAAATGAATCCTTCTGGACANGAATCACTGCGAGCTGATGGTATGCAACGCAAAGCGGCTCCTGTAGCCAAAGAGGTGTACGACACGGAATCCACCGGACAAACGCCACCTGAAACTTGTCTGGTTATATGAGGCAAACGTTCAAAGAAGAAGTGCTTCTGGAACTTTTTTGCCATTCGGAGAAGCGAGATGCTCTGAATAACTCTTACAGCGTTAGAAAGTGAGTTTCCCATGGCAATCTACTCTTAAGAAAGTAAGCAACGTACTTTTCACTTGCTTGCCAGAATGGGCGAGATTTCTGGTGTTTCTCTTCATTTGAAAACCTGCGGATCAGCAACCGCATGGCTGTGACACAGCTCTTCTCTTAGAAAGTAATAATGGCAATCGAACTCTGCTAGCCTCTCAGCCCCTTTGATACAGGTTGGCAGCAGCGTATTCGGCAAACGACACAGCTATGGGAACCCACTTAGCCGTCTCCCTGTTCCTAAGGAGGTGGTGTGGATAGGGAAGTCAGGGGAGACGGGCAGTAGGAGCGGTTTTCTGCAATCGAATCGCCGCTGTCGTGGACCTCTCGTTCGCCGTTATTACAACTCTAGCGTTCTTCATACAGCTCAATCGATACGCGATCCTTATTTTAGTCATGGTTCTACTGTTAGTTCTTTGGCATTTCTTTCCTGCTGCTGCATTCCGTTATATTCCCGCGCGCGGTGTCCCTCTCGCCGCGACGCGACAATCTCGTTCCTACTGCACCACACCCGGGAAGTCAGCTCTTGCGCCATCCCACGTTACTCACAACTGTTTTAAGGTGAGCATTTATATAAGAGCTTACTACATATGCTTCCTAACAAAGCTAAATCCACATGATTCTGATCATGACGAGTGAACAGCTCAGAATTCCCAAAATCTACCTCTTCCTTCCAAACGAGCCCTTCTATCCAAGGAAGAGACCGTTTTAACACCCTTTACTCGCGCTCTGTGTGTTACCGGAAAATATACTTCAAGAAGGTATTCTACTTGAAATTACCTTACCATTGTTAGGAAATCCGCAGCAGTGATGTCTGTTGAAGAGCTTGTTGTAGACACATTTGTATCCCTGTGGACAAATCGACGGCTTATGGCAGATGAGTGGAACTCCTTCTGGGGTGACAGCTACTGCTTCACCAGCTGCACACGCTAAATACCATCAGTTATTCTTCTTATCACCCTCCAAAATCAATTTGGGAGCTAACCTGAACCTTGGCAAAAACGATTGCACTGCGCCTCCGTGACAAATCGATTTTCGTTACCACCATGGCAATTCATGAACAAAAATTTCTTGCACCTGAAGGTCGTGGCTTCTCCCAAAGATCAATTTTGTTTTTCTACAAAAACGTTTCGCTCCAAGCTTAGATCATTAGGATATCTAATGACCTAAGTGATCCAGCATTAGAATAAAATGCTCGTAGGATCGGTTGGCTGTGTTCTCCCCATCCGCCCACTCCCCTTCCCAAGTCACCTTTTCCACTTTATTATGAGGCAGTCATTCTTCCTGGCTAAA